GAATGGTCCTTCCTGTCATCTTATTATTTATTCCACTATGGAACGTGTGATCTAACAGGTAAAAGGGCGTATGTGCTTGAGTATTCACTTAAAATTTTGAAAGTCATACGTACAATGCAATCTCGGTAATTCGTAAGCTCGATAAGTCGAAAATCGCGATAATTCGTAATAAAGTCCCTTAAGATGGCGTGTGGTCCCTGGAATAACGAGTTATCGAGTTTTACTTGTATCTATACGTTATTTTACATTGGCTACCGTAGAATATTCAGAAAAAGAAAAATCAATTTTAGCCCATATATATATATATATAAAAATGTTGTGTACGTATGTCACGGTCGTCAAAACTCGAGAACGGCTGAACCGATTTGAAAATTTTTTATTTTATATTGTTCGGTATAATACCAGAACCAATGGCATCGCAAAAAACCGGAGGGTTGCCACCTATTTGAAATTTTTTAAACCCAATTATGTATATCGATGAAATAAATTAATTATTACTATATGGGTATCAAATTAAAGAGGTTTAAGAAAGATAACTGTCGGAAATATTTTTGAGGAGGGTTGCCACCTATTTTAAAATTTTAGCTCAGTTAAATTGATAAAGAAAATGAAATATTGCTAGGTGGGTATCAAACTAAAGAGGTTTAAAAAGGCTTACAGTCAAAAACATTTTTGAGGATGGTTGCCACCTGTTTGAAAATTAAACTAAATTACATTGATAAAATAAATGAAATAGTACAATATGGGTATCAAATTAAAGAAGTTTAAGAAAGATAACTGTTGGAAATATTTTGTAGGAGGTTTGCCACCTATTTTGAAATTTTAACTCAGTTAAATTGATAAAGAAAATTAAATATTGCTATGTGGGTATCAAACTAAAGAGTTTTAAGAAGGCTTACAGTCGAAAATATTTTGAATGAGGGTTGCCACCTGTTAAAAAATTTAACACGATTTAAGTGATATATTACAATATAGATATTAAATTTAAGAGGGTTAAGAAAGATAACTGCTGGAAATATTTTTGAACAAAATAGCCACCACTTTGAAAATTTAAACTCAGTTATTTTGATAAAATAAATGAAATACGGTAATTTGGGTATACAAATTTAGATCTTTAAGACGGCTTACGGCCGAAAAAGTGGTTGAGGAGGGTTGCCACCCGTTGGAAAATTTAACCCAGTTTAATTGATATACATAGGTATCAAATTAAAAAGGTGTACGAAAGAAGACTTTTGGAAATATTTTTGAGGAGGGTTGCCACCTATTTGAAGATTTGAACTCAGTTAAATTGATTAAACAAATGAAATATTGAAATGAGGGTATAAAAATAAAGAGTTTATAAAATATATACAGTAGAAAATATGTTTGAGGAGGGTTGCCACCTGTTTGAAAATTTAACTCAATTAAATTGGTAAAATAAATGAAAGGTTACAATATCGGTAACAAACCAAAGGCGTTTGAGAAATCTTGATTTAGAAATCTATATATATATATATATATATAAAGAGATTTAAGAAGGCTTACAGCAGAAAATATGGGTGCCAAACGAAAGGTATTTGAAAAATCTTGATTTGGAAATATTTTAATAGGATTATCACCTATCTAAAAGTAAAGACTGAAAATATTGAAATTAAATGAAATATTACATAACTGGTTCCAAACGAAAAGTGTTTAGGATAGCTTTACTAGGGAACTTTTTTAAATCTTTCCACTTATCCAAAATCGGAACAGTTTAAATAAATATAGAATTTACAACATCTTATCAAACGAAGTGATCATATTATCAACGAAGAGCTGGTACACAAATTACTTAATGTAAAAAATTAATAAACAAGTAATTTTTTAGCAAAAAAACACAACCGACATCAATTCTATAAAAAATTTAATAGTACCGTTACTTTTTTCATGATCCAATGATCGGATCTAAACCAAATTAGTATGGGATCACCTGGAAATCAGTTGACGTGGTCCAAAGTTATGCGGTAACATACATAAAAAATAATAATCCGACGAATTGATAACCTTCTCCTTTTTTTGAAGTCGGCTAAAAACTACCGAAACAAAATAACAAAATGATAAAAGAGTAACGAAAATAAAAAAACTACCGCATGAAAGCTGTTTAAAAAATACTTAATGAAAACTTAAAACTGTTGACAACATTCCCTAGCATTATAAATCAGTTAACTTTTAATCGTAAACAATTTATTTCGTTTGGGGTCGCCATTGCCTACTACGTACATATATTGCGAGTAAAGAAATTTTCAATAACTTGAGATAATATTATTATGATTATGATTATCATTACTATTGTGAACTCCTATTCCCGACCAATGTTTCCCAAAATTAAAGCGAAAGCAGAAGGGCATTTACGATCACATGATGCAAATGTTAAGATAATAAGAGCTGCAGAACGAAACCATGCAGGAACATTTTTTACAACGGCGTGTAATTTCTGGCGTTTGCCGATGACATCGACATCATCGGTAACAAAAATCGCGAAGTCTCTTCTGCCTTTTCTATTCTGGATAAGGAAGTGAAGCGAATGCGCCTGGTGGTAAACGAGGCCAAGACGAAGTATCTGCTGTCATAAACAAAGCGCATTCGCGCCTTGGAACTCAAGTCACTGTTGACAGTTATAAGTTCGGGAAAGTTGAGAATTTCGTTTACTAGGGAACCAGCATTATCATAAATAAAAATATCAGCATGGAAAACCCACACAGAATCACTCTTGCAAACAAGTGCTACTTTGGACTGAGTAGGCAGTTCGGGAGTAAAGTCCTCTCACGACGTATAAAAAGCCGCACTCTATAAGTCACTCATCATGCCCGAGCTGTTATATGGCGCAGAAGCTTAGACAATGACAACATTCGATGAGATGTCTCTTGGAGTATTCAACAAAAATACATATCTTACGGAAGATTTACAGACGATGGAACTATGAGTTGTATGAGACTTAAAACGAAATGTACATAGTGCAGGGAATGAAAATGCAGCGGCCCCGCTTGCTTAGACATGTCGTTCCAATAGGAACCGAAGTTCCAGGTGTGAAAGAATACAACTCGCAATCCGCTGGTGGTAGCAGAGGAATAGGGAGCCCCCGCTGCAATGGAGAGACCAAGTTGGCACAGAGAGAAATTGATTGGCGTTCTTTGTCGAGCTCGGTCAAAATGACTTAGGCGGTTACAAAGCCAAAGTAGAAGAAGAATATGCAAAAGATAAATGGCGGAGTTGGGGGAGGATGCGCCAGGAGTTACTAGGAAAATATTCCTTGTCAGATGGATTCTGGCAACGGTTCGATCAAAAAATTGCACTACCTTAGCTATCACTCCGTCTGGAATTGCTGCGATATTGTAACCAGGTGGGAGCATTGCCAATTCAGTTCTTGAGCTGCCATTGAACATATAAGTCATCGAGACTCCCACGTGCAATATTTCCAGGGCAACCGGTATGGAAAAAGTATTAAAAAAATTTGAATTCACTGTTTGGGATGAGTGCACCATGGCACATAAAAAATCGCTTGAGGTCATTGATCGATTTTAGTGAGATTTGAGTGGAAACGTTCAACCATTCGGGAATGCATTGATATTGCTCGCAGGAGATTTTACGCAAACATTGTCTGTAGTTCCTCGATTAACACTAGCGGACGAGATAAATGTTTGCCTGAAATAGTCAACATTGCGACAAGACTGCAGCCGAGGTATTCTTGCGACAATTACTGGACATTGGGAACGAAAGGTGCCAGTCAATGAGAGATTAAGACAAATTTTATGGCCTGGTAATTTTTGTAACTTAGAAACACCGAAAGGAGAACTGATCGAAAGAATGTTTCTTTATTAAGAAAATTAGTTATAGGAATCTCGATTGACTCAGTGAACGGGCTATTCTTGCTGCGAAGAATAAGGATGTCTATCAACTAAATAATAGTGGTATTGAAAACAGTCGTTGCTTGAGCTGATCTGCCATTTTACCAGACTGCCAGGCCACTTGCTCACGTTGGTGAATACCGCTAATATTATTCAATCCAGCATTCATCGTGAGGAAATAGCACGATAAATACCGTTGTGGAAAAAGACGATCCAACAGAATTTTTGGACTCGATTGATCTTCCAGGGAGACCCCACGTACTGAAATTGAAAATAGGTGTGCCAATTATCATGTTGCGGAATATTAATCGGCCAAAACTTTGCAACGGCAGACGACTCGCACTAAAGAAATTGATGAAGAAAGTAGTGTAAGTAAAGATTTTAACGTGGCCTTTCAAAGGTGAAGAATTCTCATGATTCCGACCGATACACCATTTCAATTTAAAAGATTGCAATTCCCAATTCGATTGACATTTGGAATCACAATCAATAATGCTCCAGTCGAAGTTGGAAAAGCAAACCAGATATCCTTGATATCTATGCAGCGAATGGAAAAACAACAAATATTGTGTGCACACAAGTACTTATTACATAACCAAACACATATGAAACGTATGCATTGTTTCGTTAATAACACTATGCGACAGTCAAAATCGGGATGGGATGAAACCAACGGGAAATGTTATATCGGTCAAAAACAAGTTATACGTGTCCCGGCGTTTCGCTGGGTCACGTCTAGGAATCGAGATATATATATAACTATCATATAGGGGAAATTGTAACCTTTGGTGGTCTTTTTTTTTTTGACATAACTCGAGAACCACTAGTCCGATTTTGCTCAAACAAATTTAAAAAAATTAAAAACTACAATTCCTTTAATCTGTTCATATAACGTTTTTCTATGTAATCAACAGTTTTGCCGGTAAAAATAAATGTATGAAGAAAAAAAATATTTTTTGCCTAAAATATTAATCGCTTAATTTTTTTAATTTCCAATGCAGCGAAACTTTAATGGACTTCTTTCAGTGAGTTTATGTATGGGTATCTTCCAGTGAGTTTTAATACCAGTTTATTAAGTCCACTACAAAAGCTTTCTCGTTTCATATTTTTTTATTGTTTTTGTTTTCTCATACTTACATGCAAGAATACGATCCGATTTCCGAAAAGAAATTACAAGTGCCACCATTTAGACAAAATTCAGCAGCATCATCGGGACAAACATTGCCAGTTCCACCCGTTAAACTTGTTGGATAACGCGGCTCTGAAATGTGTAAATTTACATATATTAGATTATTTTACATAGTATATGTATTTAGTAAAGAGAAACAATTCAGGATAGTGCCGAATGCCCCATACCTTTCATCAATATTAGCATTTTTGATCAGTTGTTTGGTAGACAAATTTTTTTTAATGAGCAAATAGGGAAACAATGTTTGATCTTAACTACTTATGTATATGGATAAGATATATAACAAAAACTCATATCTGAACAATCGGTGCTATGGGAGATACATGTAATCGTAACGATTTTCCCAGTTGGCCTTGTATAACCGATAAGTAAGCACGCCAACAATTTCATGGTTTAGCTTTGGTATACTTTTAAGTATGTCTTACTCTTCCTCTTCTAGTACTTACACATACCGGACTAAGATATCGACTCTCTTTAAGATGAATATCCCGTCAAGAAGGGAGTGGTAAACACCAAGACCGGGAGAAAGGGGGAAGTAAATTTTTACACGGATGAATCCAAGCTGGACAAAAGTTAGCTACGAAGTTTTTTCTAAAGAATTAAGACTGGAATTATCTGCTCGAATTCCGGACCGCTGCAGCGTTTATCACGCAGAAGTCCTTGCTATAAAAGAGGTGGCTGTATACCTTAATACACATGCCGTAAAGATGACCACGATTAACATCTTCTCGGTTAGCCAGGCGGCCATCAAATCAATGAACGCGGCAATGCTAAGATCAAAGGTTGCACATGAATGATATTAGAACCGTCTAAAAGGTCAGCCTAATACATATGTATCCCGGGACATAGAGATTTTGAAGGCAATTGCAGTGCAGATGTGCTAACCACGAAATGTACCAATCTTCCATTGTCCGAAACCATTGTAAGATTGGGATACTTATGGCAACCTGCAAACCAAGGATTAGAAATAACACCATTCAAAAGGCCAATAGGTCATGGTTAGATGAGGGCACTTGTACAACAACTATTTAGGTTACTATGTCTGCAAATTGCTAGGTAAAAAATCGAAGAATTGCTCAGCCTCTCGAGGGAGAACATTTCGATGGCCATGGCTTGTGTAACGGGTCATTGGTTATTTGGTAGGCACGCTTCGAGATTAGGAATATTCTCCCATGAGACGAGGAAGAAGAAGAAATAGTTGAGCAGTTCTTCTGTAGTTGCCTAGCTTTAGCTAAGTGCAGAGCGGGCTTTCTAGGTAGGCACTTTTTCCAGCTCTCTCACGGAACTAATGTGGTGGAGGAATAAAACCAATCTTACGCTTCATAAGGATGTGTTCCGTCTTTTTTTCGTCCAGCTCACAGAAACAACAGCCGATCTTGTATGAAATATTCATTTTAATAGGTGATGACGCAGGATACAAATTACCAAATTACAGTTGGAAAGTTATCCTTGCCTAGATTCATGAGCTTTTTGATGGACAGGTAAGCCAATAAGCTTGGCTTTGCTGTATCCAATAGTAATAACTTCGATAAGAGAAGAGGTGTACTTTTCGATATTACTGATGTATTTATATCAACCTAGTTATCGATGTTGTTATGGAAAAAATATATTGAAAGGATCTGTCATTGAGTACCTCATTTAAATTTTTTTAACTAATGACCTTAAATGTCAGAAGCATACTAATTAATCCCCTTCTTTGATCAGAAAAAGCGAATCTGCTGCTATCATCAATACAAGCTCTCAAGCAGATATCTATACAAATACATACAAATGCACGTATATATATACATTAGCGTGGATCACTCTTCACACAAAGAAAAGGAAGATTTTCATCGAAATTACACAATTTATTTTTATGCAGAACATTTAAGCTTAAATTCGTTTATCATCTGAAGTGATTTTCTGCAAAAAATATTATAAAAAACTATTTTTTTCTTGATTTTAGAGGTTTTTTAAATCGGCCCAGTGCACTTAAAATTTAATATTTGGCGAATTATATCGGCAGAAGTCTTTAAATATAATAAATTTTATAATTTTGATGGAAAAATCGCGACTTTTTTGGTGAGGCACCCTAATGCACATGTGTATGTATGTAAATAGCGGGGGCCAAAAATCCACTTTTTTTAGAATTTTGATTAGTAATAGCGAAAATATGGTCCATTATGCTCTAAAAAAATCAGTGTGCAAGATTAAAAATGTTGGTCAATATCTTAGGCTCGCCAAAGTCCCTCAAAATTCAAATGGTAAAAGTTTTTTTTTTGCTTATTTCGATTCTATACAAAAATTGTCCATATACCAAATTATGTAGGACTAATACTTTCGAAGATAATTGCAATTTTAGTAATAAAATGTGTTAATTGATTTATTTATCAATTTTTATTTTTTTGAGCACATTGAATTTTGATGGACTTGGGCGAGCCTTAAATATTGACCTAAAATTTTCATCTTTCACACAGATTTTTTTTTAGAGCATAATGAACCATATTTCTGCTATTACCAATCAAGATTCTAAAAAAGCGGATTTTCGGCCCCCGGTAATGTACATATGTGACTCAAATAATTGCATTTAATTTTCCTTTTTCCCTTTTCAATCGATTCTTTTTTAACTCCATACAAATGTGTGGAGGTACATACATACATCTCTTTTCTTTCCATAATTTCCTTTTAAATGCCATTTATATGGTTTTTAATTCGAAAAACTAGAGTTCTAATGCCTTTTATTTGTAGGTTTTAATCATCTAATCTTATTTCATCGTCAATTTTACGCACCTCTACATATTTATACATATGCACGTATATATGGATGTACATGATTAAACTTATGTACATCGGTGGAAATCCTCATTCGCTACACAAGCAATAATACTAACTATGTAGTGTAAAAAGGGAAATTTTGCGATAAATTACGAATTAATTGGGCCATAATAATTTCTGTGAAAATTAAGCGTATATAAATATTTAAAGTAAAACACTGAAACGGAGAAGAGACAAGACATACATACATACATATGTACAAGCAAAGCATAAATACAAATGAAAATATATGTACATTTATACTTTCGTTACCACTATGCATATGCATTTATATTTACAAAAAAAGTATATACACATATGCATGTAAGTATGTAAGCTCAATTCTTGCTACGGCTAATTACCTGGATCCGCTTTAATTAAAATGGTGCGTCGATCTGGCTCCTGATTGATTTTATTTTTAGCGCGACACTCATAGCGCCCCGTATCGGAAATGTTAAACGAACGTATGATCAGTTCAGAACGCTTTCTAAGTATTTAAAAGTGAGAGTAAATAAATGATTCCAATGTGTGAAAATATTGATGATAAATAAAAACATGAAAACATAATAAATATGTACATACATATGTAGTATCAAAAGGTAGGCAAAGCGAGATGCTTGCAAATAGATTAGTCTAATTTTTCAACTCACTTGAAATGACGAAATTTGTACAATTTACGATTACGATTAATCGATTTGCCATCCTTGAACCAGGTGACCTTGGGTGGTGGCCGTCCTTGTACTTTGCAAACAATGTGCAACTCTTTACCGATTTCCATTGTCCGATTTGTGGTTATAGTACGTATTGATGCGAGCTGTGCTGTAAAGAATTTAGAGCAAATATATTTTTGGTAATTATTAATGAGGCGATTTGTGAAATTTCAAAGCTTTATAAAATAATCGTTTTTTTAATCGAGGAGAAACGAAAAGAATTGAAGTGTATACTACTGCATTTGTAAAGGCACTGATGTGAAATAATTTTAATGCATATCGTACCTTTGCAGCAAGAGTGTCAGAAAATAATTGAGTTAAGTATGCAGAAGTGACCGCCACGTCTTTATCTATCTTGTGCACAAATTTCAGAGCTGTGTCGATTAATAACAATGTACAATATTGTATATTTTTTTGTATTGTGTATAGAAAAGTAATTTCTCAGTTTTCCCAGTTTGGCAATTTTAAGATTTTTTTGTCAATTTGATGTTGGTGGTCTCTGAACCACATTCAAAACAACTGATTGAATTGCAAATATTTTTACATTCAAAAGCCCTTTATTTGGGTCTTGGGGTCAGAAGAATCTGAGATTGCAATTTATTTTTAACAAAAATGGTCGCTAGGGTGCGCTTTAATGTAAAAACCATGGAAGGAGTATGAAGGAAAAATGCAAAAAAACGTTTCTCAATAATGTTCCTAACAATGTTCCTTCAAGTTTATTTGCACCAAAGTACACCCAGCAGTCGCGGCATTTTTGGTAAAAAAAGCTTCTTGGTGTTAATAAGCTGCAGATTCAGAGACCTCGTCAACTAAAGCCCCTTTGATGGTATAAATATTTGAAAAAAAATTAAAAATTTTTAAAATCGGTTTTATCAATTCCATTTTTATATTTATTTATTACTAGATTGAAAATATTAGTGCATTAATATGTAATCTCTACTATAATAAAACTAGTATTTATAAAAATTCGTGTTAAGTCAAAATACAAAATTTTTTTGAGTGCCTAACACAAAAGGTGGACACACTAATGCTCCATCCTAATGTAAAGCACTGCAGCGCCACTAACTATAATTTAGATTTACATTCAATTAGAAATTAATAAAAAACTATAATTTCAGAGAACAGAAAAAAGCTTAATTTTCAATTTTCTTAGTTTTTTACTTAGATCAACAATACTTTAAAACGCGTCCAACTTCCCCTAATACAATAGATTTATTTCCTGGCGAGAGCTCTCCTGCTTAAGTTTTCAAACATAAATTTTATCTAAAGTAAATAGCTGACTATGCTGCTAGACGAAACGAAGACACATAATTTATAATTAAATGAGACTTTGCTGGCGACCATGCTCTTCCAACTCATTGCTCATAAGCAGCGCCAGCAATCACTACACCCACCCACCCATAGAAATTGATGATGACAATGCACCAATTGGCAACAAAAATGGAAAAAAAAATTTAAGTAATACGTTTAAATTTCAAATAAAAACGAAATAAAGAAACAATGTTCAGTTAAATTTTTTTTAAATTGTGTATTTCAAATATAAAGAAGCAGAAAAGTGGCGAGGTGGCAAGTCAAAAAATCGGCAAATACCTCGCATATACATTGTGAGTATTTCTAAATATATTAGAATTAAGCAAATATCATATATACGTACAATTGTATATGTGTATTTGTGTACAGCTTTTTTTGTATAAAAAGCATGCTGTTTTTCACAACAACAAACACATCGAATGGCATTAAAAATATAACAAGCGTGATTCATGCATGAATTGTTACACTCGCACAACATGTTGCTTTACTTTTGTTTTAGTTTTTCGCATGCAATACGGCATGGCGTATGAGCAACATGAGGCAACTTGTTAAGTAAAACGTACCAAAACAAATTTTATGGGAATCGAAAACATTGCAAAATTAATATTAAACATATTCTTAGTACAATTAAGCTAGAAAAGGGCTACTAAGTATTCATTGAGAAAAAGTTGAACTGATAAATAAAACTCAAGTTTTCAATACTCATTTTTATAAGCCGCTCTTGTAGAAGTATTTATACAAGTATTTTAACCATTATCAATTTTTTTAATAACTTTTCTATCAAATTGGTTCGTTTTTCAGAAAGTGATGATAATGACTACGGTATGTTAGGTTAGCTTAAGTTGAAAGTTCACAAAGCGATCTCACATGGATAGACCAACTAAGTCTATAGTGTTACCAGAAACATTTAATATAGCTGTGCCTGAGTTATAAATCTAGAAAATTTTGTATAGAGTGTAACTGCTACTTTGATAAGATCGAGGAAACTTTCGTGATTATTTCTGGATAGTCAATTTCACACTTTAAATAGTAGGAGACTGCTAAGGTATTTGCATACGCAGGTAACGTGACGGTTTTTCTATGGATAGATTCTTGAACAGATGTCTGAGAGATGGTGGTGAATGTAGATATCGACGTCCCAGTTTCACCAAAGCTGGGGAATAGCAGAGAAGGGTTGGAAGTTCTCGATTTTATCATCGTATCGAAGTAAAACTTCGGCAGTAGGAAGCCAGCTTTCCTGGCAAGCATCTCTATTGGACAGGGGGCTGGTTGAGCTATCCCACAAGCCGGTTTTAAGACCAAATTTATTTTTGAGTCACTGAGTACAAAAAATTCTTATTGCTCATGCCAAACAACAGAACTATGTGTGTATATCTAACGAAAAGAGATAATTATATAATTTATCGTAAATAAATCAGTGTGCCGCAAATATCTGACCGGAATGTGAAGCGGTATCCTTTGTAGGATAGCCAATAACAGCGTCAGTGAAAATGATAAGAATAAATTAATAAATATCCGCGAGTAGATTTAAGTTTCAAGGCAATCAGCGCGACAGGATCATGGGATCAGGAAAGTTTAAAGAACATAATCTATATATTAATACGCTAACATATATTTTATCCGCATTAGTTTGGCGAATGAACCGAACCGATGTTAAAACAATTGGTTGAAAATTACAGCTAAAATCGTATTTTCAAAATTTCCGTATTTGTGTATAGTTGTTGTTGCAACCTGTTCAATTTGAGTTGTTATCACATTTTGTTTTACTTTGAAATGGAACTTTGTAATAAAGATAAAGTGAAGATGAAGAAAGAAATGATGAAAATGACATTGTTTTCAGAATACATAATATACATAAAAATTATGGTAATTGAATTGGTAAGAAAATGCATTGAAATTTTATAATAAGAATAGAAATATATGCAGTCATCAGAAATTTAGTTACCGAATGTTATCAAATTTCTTGTCACCGAAGTTTATAGTTATGGAAATTTACTGTATCATCCATGTTTATTAAGTTATCGAAATGTGTCGTGTTATTGAAATTGGTCAATGTTTATTGAATTGTACCGATAGTTTTCGAGTTATAAAAATTTATCGAATCATCGAAATTTATCAAGTTATCGAAGTTTATCGAGTTAACGACATTTATCGAGTTGTCGAGTTTTGTCGAAATTTTTTGGTAGTTATCGAAATGTGTTGGTAGCTAAAGACATTTGTCGGTTTATGGAATCGAGGCTTTTGGAAATTTGGATCTATATCTCGTTATCGAAACTTCTAGAATAATGTGAATTTATCAAGTTATCACTCTTTATAGAATTTAATCGAGTTACCAGTGTATCGAGCTATCGAAATTTTCCATAGATATGGAAATTTATGGAGCTATCAAAATCGAGTTATCAATAAATCGAGATATTTAAATTTTTTAGTAACCGAAATTTATCCAGTTCTGGATGTTTAGGCGCGACTGCTAACACCGGGCGCCTAAATTCGTGCTATGGACTGCTGCATGTGCAAAAATTTCCTTTATGCAATTTATGAAATTTTTGCACATGCACTTTTCAACTGCCATGCAAATGAACTTTCTTAAGTTTCAATTAGATGGCACTTTAAAGTATGCTCGGCCTAGTCTGATGCATCCTCCGGACACTGCTTCCGGAGCATTTTGCGGACTCTGTATGACATACATGTAAACATACTGGTCTCCCCTCTCACTGAGTTATTCACTGAAAACGCACAGTTATTTAAATTTATCGATAGTTAGCGAAGCTTTTAGAGTTAACGGAATTTATCGACTTGACTTTTCTGCATTGATAAAAAGCAATCATCATTTTTAGTATTTCACGAGAAATTGGCATATCCTATTACCAACTGATTTGAGAAACTCCACAAGTTCAATTTCAAGTGGGGGTTCTCATATTACGCGCTTAAGTCAAATAAAGGAATGGGGAATATTCACTGCACGTTCAATGATTTCAAAAACACTAAAAGTCATTCTTTATTGTTGCTAAAATAAATTGAGTAGTCCACTTGCAAAGTGCGCTATGTAAAATTTCTTTGATTTTTAGTTTTTGGAGGATTACGTACCAGTATTTATAGTAGTTTCATGTGCACTAACAAGACAGTGCAAAATATCTTTTTATATTCTGAAAAAAATAGCATCAAATGTTAACTCTTCTTCCAAAAGTCGCTATCATACTTGTTTATAAACTTTCAAAAGTATACATCTTCTGATGAACTTAGAAAACTGCTTTAGGTCATATAGGCTGTTAATGTTATCTTATGTCATGTTATGTTATGTTACAATTTTGCAAGGCTCTTATTTATCAAAATTTTCAGGTAATAATAAAAAAAGATTCAATTTAAATGTTACTTGTTGTCGTAGCGGTTTTTTCAAATTTATGGCTTTCTATTATAAAATCACATAACGCTGTTTGCAAGTGGACTACTCAATTCTGATGATGTTCGAGAGCACAACAATTACCCAATTGAATTTTTGAACCATTTAGCTATCAGAGGATTGCCTTTACATACACTGGTATGCAAAAAAAAAACAAAGAACGCTTTGTTGAATGGTACTTGCATGCGTGAAACAAATGCATAAAAACTCTTTAGATTGCGAAGTTTTAAGTGGCATTTCAAGTGGCTTGCTAAATAATATTAATTCTTCGCATTCATTTATCCTATTTTGGCACTCTTTTGGCGTTTTCGTTCCACCGTACATAGTCTCTAATCATTCTCGCTTTTTGTAGGACCTTTATTTACTCATGGACAATTGTGTGCTATTGCCATTAGACT